GTTTCAGCTAGCTTTGAGGGAGTATTTTTTTAGGAAGTCATTCTTTGAGTCCTGAATCCTTTTTTTTAGCCTTGAAATATCAATGAGATATGCATATCTTATTTGCTGTGTATTGTTTTATAACTGTGGTCTTTTAGTTTAAAGAACAACAGACTGTTTGAATGATCCTTATGATGTTTGAACATGTTACCAGCTGGAATCCCAGAAAATATCTTGGCATGTCTTTGAATTTTGAGAGCCCATTTTATTGTGGGTGCTCTGGTTTAATCCCAAATACACAAAAACCAATTAAATGTAAGCACTGAATTTGGAAAGGCCAAATAAACGCAAGCACAGATGGGAAAATAAAGTACCCACTTACCAAGAAGGACGATAAGAAGCCTTCTCCAACTGAAAGAAAAAAGAGAGATCCCAAGGCCTCAACCCAAAGGGAAAAGTCTCTTCCCTGAGACCCCATAGCCAGGGTCTACAAGGAGGAAGAGTCTTCCTTAGGAGATCTCTCAGCCAGATCAGACTAGAAGGGGAAAGACACCGTCCCATCCAAATCCCAGATAAAACAGAACTCAACCAAAATTGGGAGTTCAGTCCAAGAATGACTCACTAAGGGAAAAAGAGGCAGCTTGCAGAAGCTGGTAGGGGAGGGGGTGGCTTTCAGAGTGTGGCTGCCTCATACTGTAGTTCCAATGGCTGCTGATATTCTCTGAGATGAGTCAGCCTTAGACTCATACTTGACCAAGTGTATCAAAGTCAAATGAAACAATGAGATGAATCTCTGAAATTAAGATGTTTTATTTGTGAAGAAAGAATTGCAGTTTAGGGCATGCATGCCGACAGAGTGGTATGTCCGAAGAACAAAGAGAAGGTTAGAGGTTTTATGAAAAACAGAAATGTTACATACTGCTCCTTGAGAAAGTTCATCGGCACTAGTAAGATTCTGGAGAGCTTGCCAGTTTTGATTGATGAGTGATGGCCGTGGGTAAAATTAGCCTTAGAATTTCAGCAGATCATTTCAGTAGCCATTAGATAAAACTGGTTTCCAGTAATAGCAGGCAGTTTCAGCAGACATGCTTCCTGCAGATGAGTACATTTTTGGGGCTATGTTATATGTCCTGAGTGCTTCCCCCCGCCCCTGCCCTCTTGACTTTGTTTTAGTTGGGTATGACAGGAATAACCCAATTCAATTCATATGATCAACTTTCACAGTAGTTAATGATATAAATACCTTAATTTATTTCACCATTCCTCTACTGTTGGCAAAATAGGTTTATAGCAGGTCATGCTATTGCGTACATTTTCCCTCCATCTTCCCTACAAACAATATCTCTATTTTATTCAGATAAATGAGATTCGGGTTGCAGGGAGAACCTTAGATTTCAGGGAAGGAAGGCCCTTATCCCATCCCCAGGGAATGAATTCTGGTTGGTCTGAACTAGACAATCAATTTCCTGTCACTCATGACTAGTCTAGGGGTAAACACTAGATTTTCTTTTAACCAGTATAAAGGGAACTCAGCTGGGTTTTTGTTTGTTCACTTGCTTTTGGAAACACTCTTTCTTGATGAAAAGACTATTGCAAGGTTGAAGCTTTTGGACCCCCTTTCCACCATGTCACTTCATATGCGGATGTTGTACTGTAGCAGCCATGCTGTGACTATGAGGAGGAGACATGACTAAGGAGGAAAAAGCAGACCTGTCAATCGCAGATCACAGAGGTACAGAGGGCTTGGTTTCTTGGCAAAGATGTTGAACTAGTACACCAAACCTGAATATCTCATCTCCAGACTTGATGTTGTTTTTTTTTTGAGACAGAGTCTCACTCACTCTGTCGCCCAGGCTGGAGTGCAGTGGGGCACCATCTCAGCTCATTGCAACCTCTGCGTCCCAGGTTCAAGTGATCCTCCTGCCTCAGCCTCCCAAGTAGCTGGGATTACGGGCACCCACCACCACGCCTGGCTAATTTTTGTATTTTTAGTAGAGACGGGGTTTCACCATGTTGGCCAGGCTAGTTTCAAACTCCTGACCTCAGGAGATCTGCCTGCCTCAGCCTCCCAAAGTGCTGGGATTACAGGCATGAGCCACCGAGCCGGGCCCAGACTTTGTGTTTTATGAGATATTTAAATATTTTACACAACAGCAAGTTGGATTCGGTTATCACTTATATTTAAATGGTACAAGGTTGTTTTCCAATTATTTCCATTCTGCACATTGCTGAAGTTAACATCTTTTTGAATATATCCGTGATGGTATTTCAGATACTTAGATCAGAGTCTCACACATGAAGTAACTGGATGAAAGAGTAGATCATTTTTAAGACTTCTGTCGCTGATAAAACAGAATAGTGAAGTTTTATTTTTCTTTGAGCCTTTTGATGTTCCCTCTTCATTTGTACCTATTACAAAGTGCTGGCTGGGCACAGGGGCTCACGCCAGTAATCCTAGCACTTTGGGAGGCCAAGGAGGGTGGGTCATCTGAGGTGAGGAGTTCGAGACCAGCCTGGGCGACATGGTGAAACCCCGTCTCTACTAAAAATACAAAAAATTAACCACATGTGGTGATGCATGCCTGTAGTCCCAGCTACTCAGGAGGCTGAGGCAGGAGAATCGCATGAACCCTGGTGGTAGAGGTTACAGTGAGCCTAGATCATGCCCCTGCATTCTGGCCCAGGTGACCGAGTGAGACTCTGTCTGAAGAGAATAAAAATAAAAATAAAAACAAAGTGCTTCCTCTTCCTCTGTGAGAGAGGAAGCTAAATTTGAGTTTTCTTTAATTGATTTTGTGAGAAAAGAAAAGATTAAAGGAAACATTTTCAGCAAAGATATATTGTATTAAATGCACAGAAGCCACCAAAGAGAAAAATGTTATCAGATAACCAGGTGATATAAATGTTATTAGATGACCAATTGATGAACAGGTATTGACATACAGAAATGATTCTAGAGGCAGAGTAAAAATTCTGCTCACATAGAAGTGAAAAAGTAATTGAGTGGTTGAACAGATCTCTTGATAATCATGACCTTGTGATTGAACTATACAAGACAATTGTACAGTTGTGTCCTGCTACATAAAATAAGGAAATAAAACTTGAAATTAGAAGCCAAGAAGCACATCACCAAATGATATTGTACTATGGGTGGATTGTGCCTTTATATATTTCATTACCTCAAAAAGGTGAGTTAGAAGGCACAAATGTATACCCAAAGAAATCAAAAGATATATTGTGTTCTTGGTTGGGAAATGTAGGTATAGAAAAGATAAAGTGCTTTCTAAATTTATATATTGATTTAATATAACTTTTCCTTGGAATATTTTGTGAAAATTGGTATCTTGGTAATGAAATTTAACCCCTCAAAAGAATAAAGCCACATAAGGTTATTTATTTATATACGTCTGTATGTTTAAGCTTTATGATTATTTTGCAATATCTGTTCCAAAATGTGTGTATGCTTTAATGCAACAATTCCATTTTTGAGAACCTATGCTTTAGATGCATTCATAATTACATACAATGATGTTTAAATTGTTTGTCACAATGATTAAAAGTTTCTTTTGGCATTTGATAAACAGGCTTCAGGGATACAAAATACCCTGCAATGTGTAGGAGACTCCTGAACAACAAAGAATGAATGATTCTCAGGTTGTCAACAGTGCCTGTGTTAGATTCTGGGGATCTAATATGGAGATGCATAAGCAAAGTCCTTTACTGTATTTTCTGGTGACAGGGACTGCATCATGTATTTGTTTACCATCCATGAGAACCAAATCAGAGGAAGGGGCTAAGGCAGGACAGGAGCAGCTAACTTGGAGTGATCAGGGTAGGATCTTTTGAGGAGGCAATTTTTGAACAGAATGACCTGCGGGAACAAGCTGTGCATAGATCAAGGGAACTACATTCCAGGCAGAGGATACAACCAGTGTAAAAGCTCACAGGCAGAAGCAAGTCTAGGGCAGTCCATGTGTAGAAATGAGGCTGTCGAGGCTAGACAGAATAGTGAGTAAGGGAGAGATGGAAGAGATGCAGAGAGTTGGGCAGATAGATGATGTCAGGCCTAGTAAACCATGTCAGTGCATTTAGGTTTTATTCTGAATGTGCTAGGAAGTTATTGGAGGAATTTCTTTTTGAGCAGGGGAGCGACGTATTCACATTTATGTTTTAAAACAATTACTTTGGCTATTAAAAGGTCAGTTGACTTTTGGAGCCCAAAAGCAGGTGCAGGGAGACCAGTGAGGATTTAATCTAGTAGTATGGGTGAGAGATGTCAGTGATTAGATTAGGCATACTGAGAAACATTTGGATTCAGGATTTTGAAGTCTTTCCTTTTTGAGGAGGTGGGAAAGTCTCAGCTGAATTGATCGAGCTCCTCAGGTCATGGCACATTTCTCACCAGTCTTTGCGAAGTCCCTGTTTCTTGTTTTATTCTTTTTGTCCTTATCTGTCATCTCTGAGTTCCCTACTCTCTCTCCCCAGTAAATACATGCTTCTACTATATTTAATATATGCTTCAGAATACATCTAATATATATATGAATGAATGATTTCTCAGATTGTCAACAGTGCCTGTGTTAGATTCTGGGGAGCTAACATGGAGATGCACAAGCAAACTCCTTTATTGTATTTTCTAGTGAGAGGGACAGCATATATATATATTATATATGTTATATATATTATATACATATAAATATATACATATATAATAAATATATATATATTCATTAATTTGAGACAGAGTCTTGCTCTGTCTTCCAGGCTGGAGTGCAGTGGCGTGATCTTGGCTCACTGCAACCTCCACCTCCCAGGTTCAAGCAATTCTCCTGCCTCAGCCTCCCCAGTAACTGGGATTACAGGCACATGCTACCATGCCCAGCAATTTTTTTTGTATTTTTAGTAGGAACGGGGTTTCACCATGTTAGCCAGGATGGTCTCGATCTCCTGACCTCGTGATCCACCTACCTCGGCCTCCCAAAGTGCTGGGATTACAGGCATGAGCTGCCACACCCAGCCAATACATCTAATATATTAATTTTTTAATATATAGAACTTTTACAGATAAAATATTTTAATTTTATGTAAGTGATATGATGCTGTCCAGTGGTCCTGAAATGTTACCGTACATCATTATTACCTGGAAAGCTTGTGCAAACACAGGTTGCAGGGCCCTGACCCTGTTTCTGATTCATCAGGCCTGGGGTGGAACCTGGCAATCTATATTCTGTCGGGTTCCCAGGTGATGCTGCTTATCACACTTTGAGATGAATGTGACTATACTTTGAGAACCACTGTTGTAGTGCTATTTATACTGTTGACTTTTTTCACTTACCACTGTGGTTTTAAGGTACCCAAGTTACTAGTATAGGTGCCTCTAGTTGATTGTTTTCTGCCTGTTGTATAGAATTTCATAGTATTTATCTGTGACACTTTCATTCTCTGTTCTGCTTGGTGGACACCTAGTTTAACTCCAATTTCTTTCTAAAATGAACACTGCTATGATGAACACCTTCATATAAATCTACCATGGTTTAATGTCTGTAGGGTTTATGAACAAAATGGGATTGCCAGGAGAAAGGGTGAGTGCATTCATACTTGAACTGAGCATTGATTGCCAAATGGCTCTTCAGAATGGCTGTGCAAGTCTCTATTCCTCCCAGTAGCACTGAAGAATTCCTATTTCCTCACATCCCTCCTTCCAGAATATGATTTTATCTCATATTATAATACTTGCCAATATAATGGGTATAAAGTAGTGTTCTACTGTTTTAATTAATGTTTCTCTAATTACTAATAAAATTAAGCATCTCATATGGCAACCATTCAGCTCTTGCACTCACTCTCAGGAGTTTCTTATATGACCTTTCAGAGATAAGTTAAACATATACTAGCATATTTGAAAATCTAATGAAAAAATAGTGTACTTGTCACTGTACATTGCCCTTTAAGTGCTGCTTTATCTGAGTCCCACAGATTTGGATTATGTATTGCTTTCATTATCATTCAGTATTTTATATTTTAAGAATTTTCTTAATGAAGTAGTATGTTTTTTCTTTACAGTCATGTAGGATTTTTTTAGAGCTAGTATTTTGTTACTGATTATTGACTTAATGTAATTTGAAGAACATGATTGGAATAATATTCATTCTTTGAAATGTATTGATACTCCTTGTGGTATAGTACAGAGTAGATTTTTGTGATTGTCCCATATATACTTGGAAAGAATGTGTATTCTCTACTTGTTGAGCTATTCTTTATAACTTTGACTATATTTGTCTGCTTGCACTATCAGTTACTTTCAGCATTGTGTCAAAATTTCCAACCACAATTACAGTGTCATGCATCACTTAATAAGGAGGGTACAGTCTGAGAAATGGGTGCCGATTTTGCTGTTGTGAAATCTTCATACAGTGTACCTACATAAACCTGGATGGTATAGCCTGCTACACACCTAGGCTACATGGTATAGCCTGTTGCTCGCAGGCTACAGACCTGTACAGCATGTTATTGTGCTGAATACTGTAGGCAGTTGTAACACAAGGGTAAGTATTGTGTGTCTAAACATATCTAGACATAGAAAAGATATAGTAAAAAAAATATAAAAAATGGAATACCTGTATAAAGTACTTATCATGAATGAATTGTACAGGACTGAAAGTTGCTCTGGGTGAATCAGTGAATGATGAGTGAATGTGAAATCCTAAGACATTGCTGTATACTACCAGATACTTCATAAACACTGTACACTTACACTGCTCTAAATTTATTAAAAAGTATTTTTCTTTCTTCAATAATAAATTAGTCTTAGCTTACTGTAACTTTTTACTTTGTAAGATTTTTAATTTTGAGCTGCCATCTTGCGTACCCTGTGTGTGTGCACCTAATCTCAGCTGGTCCACCTGAGACCCCCTAAGCACCAACCCTAGCCCCCTGCGTGGCCCGTTATCTGCTGAGAGAAGATGAAAGAAACATTTATGAGCCAGGAAAAACTCGCCAAACTGCAGGCACAAGTGCGCATTGGTGGAAAAGGAACCACTTGCAGAAAGAAGGTGGTTCGTAGAACAGCCACAGCAGATGATAAAAAACTTCAGTTCTCCTTAAAGAAGTTAGGGGTAAACAATATCTCTGGTATTGAAGAGGTGAATATGTTTACAAACCAAGGAACAGTGATCCACTTTAACAACAGAGATGCCAGCAAACACTTTCACCGTTACAGGCCATGCTGAGACAAAGCAGCTGATGGAAATGCTCCCCAGCATCTTAAGCCAGCTTGGTGCAGACTGTCTGACTAGTTTAAGGAGACTGGCTGAAGCTCTGCCCAAACAGTCTGTGGATGGAAAAGCACCACTTGCTACTGTAAAGGATGATGATGATGAAGTTCCAGATCTTGTGGAGAATTTTGATGAGGCTTCCAAGCATGAGGCAAACTGAATTGAGTCAACTTCTGAAGATAAAACTTGAAGAAGTTACTGGGAGCTGCTATTTTATATTATGACTGCTTTTTAAGAAATTTTTGTTTATGGATCTGATAAAATCTAGATCTCTAATATTTTTAAGCCCAAGCCCCTTGGACACTGCAGCTCTTTTCAGTTTTTGCTTATGCACAATTCATTCTTTGCAGCTAATTAAGCAGAAGAAGCCTGGGAATCAAGTTTGAAACGAAGGTTAATAAAGTTCTTTGCCTAGTATACCCCCCAAAAAAATTTTTTTTAATTTTTTTAACTTTTTGACTCTTTTGTAATACCACTTAGCTTATAAGTGGTATTATGAGTGAATGTGAAGGCCTAAGACTTATGCAGCTGTACAAAAATATTTTTGCTTATATTTTTATTCTGTAAACTTTATTAAAAAATTGTTTTACTTTTAAAATTTTTTGGTAAGAATGAAGACACACACACACACCACACACACGTGCATGTGCGCCTAGGCCTACAGAGGGTCAGGATCATCAGTATCACTGTCTTTCACCTCCACATCTTGTCCCACTGGAAGGCCTTCAGGGGCAATAACAGTCATGGAGCTGTCATGTCTTATAACAGTGTCTTCTGCTAGAATCCCTCCTGAAGGACCTGCCTGGGGATGTTTTACAGTGAGCCTTTTTCTTTTATAAATAGAAGGAACAAACTTGAAAATAATTATAAAAAGTATGGTATAGTAAATGCACAAACCAGTAAATTTATCATTAGGTATTTTGTACTGTACGTAATTGTATGTGCTATACTTTTATATGACTGGCAGTGTAGTAGGTTTTTTTTTACCTCAGCATCAATACAAACATGTAATGCCTGCATGTAGACATTATGATGGTTACATCACTAGGATGTGGGAATTTTTCAGTTCCATTTTAATTTTATGGGACCATTGTCCTGTATGTGGTGTGTTGTTGACTGTAACAGCATTACGTGGTGCCTGACTATATTGATTTATCTGTTTCTCAACATAGTCCTCTGTATTAGTTCTTTTTCATGCTGCTGATAAAGACATGCCCAAAATTGGGAACAAAAAGAGATTTAATTGGACTTAACAGATCCACATGGCTGGGGAGGCCTCAGAATCATGGCGGGAGGCAAAAGGCAGAAGGTACTTCTTACATGGCGGTGGCAAGAATGAGGAAGAAGCAGAAGTGGAAACCCCTGATAAACCCATCAGATCTCATGAGACTTTTTCACTATTACAAGAATAGCACAGGAAAGACCGGCCCCCATGATTCAGTTACTGTCCCCTGGGTGTGGGAATTCTGGTAGCTACCATTCAAGTTGAGATTTGGGTGGGGACACTGCCAAAGCATATTAGCCTCTCAATTTTTGCTTGTGTTTTGAGGCTGTGAAATATATACAGAATATTTCATAATTGGTGTATACAATTGATTATCATCATTCATGGGTTCTGTATCTGCAAATATGCCTTTGCCTCCTTGCTAAAATTTATTTGTAACCTCAAATCAATACAGTGCTTTTGTAGTCACTGGTAGACATGTGGAGAGTGATCTACTACTTTGAGTCTCCCAACACACATGTTGCCACCTCAGACCAAACAAGGCCACACTCTCCCTTCTTGTTTTAGCTCTCATGCTTTAAACAAGTATTCTTTTCATAGTCTATTTAGTGCCTGAATGCCTGCTATAGGTAACCAATCTCTTTAGTTTTTGGGTTTATCTTTCCTGCATTTTTTATGTACAAAGGAGATACATACATATGAATTTCATATATCTTCTTTATTATATAGAGGGTGGCATACTGTAGCTACTCTTGTACTTTTTTTAGGAGACAGAGTCTCACGGTGTCACCCAGGTTGGAGTGCAGTGGCATGATCATGATCATAGCTCACTATAGCCTCAAACTCCTTGCCTCAAGGGATCCTCCTGCCTCAGCCTCCTGAATAGCTGGGACTACAGGCATGTGACTACCATATCTGGCTAATTTTTAAATGTTTTGTAGAGATAGGGTCTTGCTGTGTTGCCCAGGTTGGTCTTAAACTCCTGGCCTCAAAGCTATCGTCCTGCCTTGGCCTCCTAAAGCACTGGGATTGCATTTGTGAGCCATTATGCCCAGCCATACTTTGCTTTTTTCATCTAAAAATATATCCTGGAAATCACTCTAAATCAGTTTATAGAGATCTTCCTCATCCTTGTGCTTTATTGTTTGAGCATATCATAGCTTAGCCTCTCTCCTGTGCGTGGTCATTTAGGTTGTTCCTAATGTTTTACTATTACACACATGCTACAGTCTTGTGCATATTTATTTTCATATTGTTGGAAGTGTATCTTCAGGGTAGATTCCTAGAAGTGGGTCAAAAGTTAAATGAATGTGTAGTTTTGTCAGTTTGGCCAAATTGTTTTTTACTATGCAAATTATATTATTATTATTATTATTTTGGGGATGGAGTTTTGCTCTGTCGCCCAGGCTGGAGTGCAATGGCGTGATCTCAGCTTACTGCAACTTCTACCTCCCAGGTTCAAGCGATTCTCCTGCCTCAGCCTCCTGAGTAGCTGGGATTATAGGCACCTGTCACCATGCCCAGCAAATTTTTGTATGTTTAGTAGAGGCGAGGTTTCACCATGTTGGCCAGGCTGGTCTCAAACTCCTGACCTCAGGTTATCTGCCTGCCTCAGCCTCCCAAAGTGCTGGGATTGCAGGTGTGAGCCACCGCAGCTGACCTATATTCATTTTTGTGTGGTCAAGTTTACCAATCTTTTATTTTATTGTGTCTGGATTTTTAGTCATTGGTTACACAGTTCTTACCTATATCAATTTTGACCTACACTGGGCTTAAGAACTCACTCATGTTTTCTTCTAGAACTTGTGTGGTTTTATCTTTTTACATTTAGATTGCTCATCCTTTTGTTGTTTATTGTACATTGTGTAAGATGTGGTTCTAACTTTATCTTTTTTTTTAAATGGCAGCCACCTGACCCAGAGCCATTTATTTAAAAGTTCATCATTATTACTGTGATTTGAGATACCACCTTTATTATTTACCATGTTTTTATAGGTACTTTTATACTATTATCTGTAGTATAAAATTCCACTGGTATATTTATCTACATAAGGCCAGTATCACTGTTTTGATTATAGACGTTTGTATGTTTTAACATCTGGTAGGGCTAGTCTGCCCTCAGGGTGTCTCTTTTTAACGTTTTCGTGGCTTTTCTTTCTTGCATGTTCATATTTCCATGTTAATTTTAGTGTCAACTTGTCTAACTCCATAAAATAGCTTGTTTGTATTTTTCTTGGAATTTCAATGACTTAAATTAGGGAGAACTGTAATCTTTTTTTTTTTTTTTTTTTTTTTTTTTTGAGGCAGAGTCTCGCTCTGTCACCCAGACTGGAATGCAGTGGTGTGATCATGGCTCACTGCAACCTCAGCCTCCCAGGTTCCAGTGATTCTCCTGCCTCAGCCTCCCAGGTAGCTGGGATTACAGGCACTCGCCACTACACCTGGCTAATTTTTGTATTTTTAGTAGAGACGGGATTTCACCATCTTGGCCAGGCTGGTCTCGAACTCCTGACCTCAGGTGATCCGCCCACTTTGGCCTCCCAAAGTGCTAGGATTACAGGCATAAGCCACTGTGCCTGGCCGAGAACTGTAATCTTTTCATGTTGATTTATTGTATCCAAAAACAAGGAATGTCTTTCCATTATTTCGTGTCTACTTTTATGTCTTATAGAGACATTTAAATTTTTTTCTTGTATGGATTTTACACATTTCTTGTTAAATTTATTCCTGTGTCTTTAGGCCTCTTTGTTGCTGTTACAAATGGGGATTTTTCTGCCATGATGTTCTGTTGATTGTTTCTATATAAAAGGTCTCTTTTTGTTTGTTTGTTTTGAGACAGAGTTTTGCTCTTGTTGCCCAGACTGGAGTGCAGTGGCGTGATCTCGGCTTGTGGCAACCTCTGCCTCCCGGGTTCAAGCAATTCTCGTGCCTCAGCCTCCCAAGTAGCTGAGATTACAGGCATGTGCCACCATGCCCGGATAATTTTGTATTTTTAGGAGAGACGGGTTTTCTCCATGTTGGTCAGGGTAGTCTCGAACTCCCAACCTCAGGTGATCTGCCCACCTCAGCCTCCCAAAGTGCTGAGATTACAGGTATAAGCCACTGCGCCTGGCCCTATTTTTTTTTTTTTTTTTAAGATGGCGTCTCCCTATGTTGCCCAGGTTGGCCTTGAACTCCTGGGCTGAAGTGAGCCACCTGCCTTAGCCTCCTGAGTAGCTGGAACCACATGCGTGCCGCTGTGCCCCACGGTATTGATTTTGTATGTTAATTTTATATCCTGCTGCTTTACTGAATTATTTTATTATTTGAGTTAGTTTTACTGATTTTTGGGGGTTATATCTGCAAATAGAGATAGTTTTATTTTTTACCCATTCTTAACCCTCTAATTGAGGTGTAATTCAATTGGCTAATACCCTTACACCAGTTTTGAACAGTAGCAGAGATAGTAAATATTCTTGCCTTGTTCCTGGTCTTAGTGGAAATGCCTTTAGTGTTTCAGAATTAAATAAAATACAGGTTTTAGGACTAATATATGTGTGAGTGGCTTTCTGAGAGAGTTCTAGATATTTAGATAAAACATGAGAACAGAGATTAGAGAGAGATTTCTGTGAAAGCTACTCTATACTCTGTCAATTTCTAGGGCAATAAGTATATCACATTCAAAAGGTTTCATTTTTCAGTTTGGGACTAACAGTGATATATGCCATTACAGCAAGTCATTTGAATTATATAAATTGTGTCTATGCATTATAATGGTCACAAAGAAAATTTTATCTGTCTTATAGTGTGTGCTGTATTTATGGAGTTTAAAGATTAATCATCCCAAAACATTGTTCCTGCTTCGGGGAAATCATGAATGCAGGCATCTTACAGACTATTTCACCTTCAAACAGGAATGTAAGTATAATCACTCCTCCAGAACTTTTTTAGTTACCCTTTAACCTGTCCCAAGTAAATCAAACATAAAGAAAAAGAACTAATGGAATTCAAATGCTTCCTGTCCTGTTGTTATTTTTTTCACCTGCGAAGAACTAAGACTATCTTCTAAGGCATTTATTTTGAATATAACTTTTGGGTTCCCCCTTGTTTAAAAAATAATTCATTTGGGATATTTGGAAAGCATAGAGAAGTCTAAAGAAGATACAAGTGTCCATAATCAGGTTGCAGTGAGCCGAGATCACGCCACTCTA